TAATAAGCCTGAATGCCTTCCACATCCCCCCCCCCCAGGCGCTGTATAATCCTCCGGGTTTAGCGCTTCCCCCTTGATTGTAATAATAATAATAATTCTGGAGGGACATTAAAAATCCGCACTAAAAAAATTGATTTATTATTCACGATTACAGTAAAAATAATGATTACAGTAATGATAATATAATGCAACTCAGGATGCCAATCAGCATCCTCCCCCTTTTTTATCTCCTGAACGGCAATTACAATAATTTATACGTTAAGCGCTAAACCCATGTGGACCATTCATTGGTAATTAGGTAATTATATTAAAAGTAATTCTTGTTTGTGAGGAGGGAGGGAGGGAAGGAAAGTGGGGAGAGAGGTGGAGAGGAAGGAGGGAGAGTGAAGGAGGGGGGAGGGAATTACTTAAACACAATCGTTATGATATAAAACTCACTAGGAAGGTAAGTGAGGAGCTTAACCTTGTTATAAAGGACTTGACTTGTAAAGTTGTCATGAAGCCACTAACATCAGGGAGAGCAGCGGGTAAAGTTGTTATGAAGCCACTAACATCAGGGAGAGCAGCGGGTAAAGTTGTCATGAAGCCACTAACATCAGGGAGAGCAGCGGGTAAAGTTGTCATGAAGCCACTAACATCAGGGAGAGCAGCGGGTAAAGTTGTCATGAAGCCACTAACATCAGGGAGAGCAGCGGGACTCTGGCGTCTGTCTACCTCGTACATAAACTCAACATCGTATCCTTTGATAAAATACAAAATATAAAATTCAATTAAATTAAAAACACGATGAATAAAAAGACAGTACTTTTCGTAGTGTTTTCTTCGTGGTTGTTACTGGTGGTGGCCGTAGTGTTGTGCGGAACTACGCTCTACCTGAAGAACCTCAGCCAGAGCTTAGCCGAGAGCTACCACCAGATCATGATGGTGGTCAAGCAGCATGTTCAAGGTAAGTTATCATGGCATCGCTCAGTCTGGAGTGTTGTCATGGGTCCTCCCCAGTACGCTCACTCCTCGATGGTCCTCACAGATGTGTACTTCAGCGGCATTCCCTTCATCGGGAGAGTGTTCCAGTTGGCCGGGTACTATGGCCAGGTCGTCCAGCTGCTGGAGTACGCCAAGCACATGAAAGTCAACGTAGAATTCGTCAAGATTCCCTCCCTCGTCGGTGCCCTCAGCGTCATCCTGGGGGCTGCAGCAGTAGTAGGCGCGACAGTCTGGTGTTATTACAGGCTCCTCGTGATGTTCGAGTTGACGTGGGACGATATGGTCTTGCTCGAGGTGGAGCCAGCCGGCCGCCTCCTCAAGTCTGCCAGCTGCAACAGGGAGAAGCCTCGTGGCTTATCTAAAAACGAGAAACTCAGGCGCTTCACGGAGTTGGTTAAAGAGAAGGACCTTCGTGACTTCATCTGGGAACACCTTAAAGACCTCGTGAAGGATCACCTTGCTTGCTTGGTGAAGGACAGCAGACTCGAGGAAGTAGTTAAGGGTCACGTCTCGAGGATGCTTGAGGAGTACGTCACCGCTGAGCGGATCCAAGAGCTAGCGTCTTTCGGGCGAGACGTGAGAGGACACCCAGAATGCGACATTTCGCATTATTACGAGTTTCCAGACAAATTCATGGTCGGAAATCTGGCGAAGAGTTCCAGGAATGCTGATGGTGCCCAGAGCTTCAGTGACCCTGATGCTGCCCAGAGCTTCAGTGACCCTTATGCTGCCCAGAGCTTCAGTGACCCTGATGCTGTCCAGAGCTTCAGTGAGCCTGATGCTGTCCAGAGCTTCAGTGAGCCTGATGCTGTCCAGAGCTTCAGTGAGCCTGATGCTGTCCAGAGCTTCAGTGACCCTGATGCTGCCCTGCGCTGCAGTGACCTTGATGCCTCCCAGTGCTGCAGTGACTCTGATGCCGCCCAGGGCTATATTGACTCTTATGCTGATGTCGCTCAGGTCTACAGTGACTCTGATGACTCCCAGGATTACGATGATCATGATGCCTCCCAGGACTACAATGGCTCTGATGCCTCCCAGGGCTACAGTGACCCTGATGTCGCCCAGGTCTACATTGACCCTGATGTCGCTCAGGTATACAGTGACTCTGATGATTATGATGCCTCCCAGGACTACAATGGCTCTGATGCCTCCCAGGGCTACAGTGACTCTGATAACTCCCAGGGCAGCAGTGATTCTGATGACTCTCAGAGCAGCAGTATCTCTGGTACCTTCCAGGACTACGATGATCATGATGCCTCCCAGGACTACAATGGCTCTGATGCCTCCCAGGGCTACAGTGACTCTGATAACTCCCAGGGCAGCAGTGATTCTGATGACTCTCAGAGCAGCAGTATCTCTGGTACCTTCCAGGACTACGATGATCATGATGCCTCCCAGGACTACAATGGCTCTGATGCCTCTCAGGGCTACAGTGACTCTGATGACTCTCAGGGCAGCAGTGATTCTGATGACTCTCAGAGCAGCAGTATCTCTGGTACCTTCCAGGACTACGATGATCATGATGCCTCCCAGGACTACAGTGGCTCTGATGCCTCTCAGGGCTACAGTGACTCTGATGACTCTCAGGGCAGCAGTGATTCTGATGACTCTCAGAGCAGCAGTATCTCTGGTACCTTCCAGGACTACGATGATCATGATGCCTCTCAGGACTACAATGGCTCTGATGCCTCCCAGGGCTACAGTGACTCTGATAACTCCCAGGGCAGCAGTGATTCTGATGACTCTCAGAGCAGCAGTATCTCTGGTACCTTCCAGGACTACGATGATCATGATGCCTCCCAGGACTACAATGACTCTGATGCCTCCCAGGACTACAATGATTCTGAGGATTCCAATTTTAAGATGAAATCACATCTCCGGTGCCGCGTATCCGAGAGAAACTCTCTCTACACATTGTCAGTAGAGGGAACACTACAACGCGCTTTTCACCAGGAACAAAGCGTCATTGAGCTGGAGCTGGAGCGTAGGGAGGAACCTTACACCTCAGTCGAAGTCAACAAATTGATGTGTCACTTGGCTCAGAAGTTGAACTTCGTGACGAACCTTCCCGGAGAATGGAACAACGGTCGTATAAGAGAACGACTCATGGAATGTTTTGATATGCAGCACCTCCTCTTACCTCCCTTGAGGCTGTTGAGGTTCCAGTGATAGACAGCAACACCTCAGATAGCCACTGAATCGAGTTAAATACCGTCCAGCAGTAGAGTCGTGTTATATACCGTCCAGCGGTAGAGTCGTATTAAATGCCGTCCAGGGGTAGTCATATTAAATGCCACCTAGCAGTAGAGACGTTAAATTTGTTTATTTTTTGAGAAGTGTATACACCTGGTTGTTAACTACTCACACACTGTGACTACACACTGCATAACTAGTTTTTAGTGCAAGTCAGAGCGAAACGTCATCATCAGTTTCAACTTTGTGCGGGTTATTTCTGTATTGTTCCAGTCCCGCTATTGTGTCTTTTTGTTCTGTATACAGTCTTTACCTGCGTGGGGCAACAAACACCTATGTAAATGGTAGACTTTATCACCACCTGCACCTTTGCTGCCCCCTAGCTGCGATTTTCTCATACCCAGCCCTGTAGACTTGCACCCTTCACAGGTTGTATATTATTCTCTCATGGTCACCCATCCACTTATGAGCCACACCCACCGAGTCTTAACCTTACTCTAAAAAAAATCATATCTCAATTTGAAATATTTAAAGAAGACCTGGGTCTTCAGGGGGGTTAAAGAAGACCTGGGTCTTCAGGGGGCTAAAGAAGACCTGGGTCTTCAGGGGGCTAAAGAAGACCTGGGTCTTCAGGGGGGCTAAAGAAGACCTGGGTCTTCAGGGGGCTAAAGAAGAAGACCTGGGTCTTCAGGGGGCTAAAGAAGAAGACCTGGGTCTTGCAGGGGGCTAAAGAAGAAGACCTGGGTCTTGCAGGGGGCTAAAGAAGAAGACCTGGGTCTTGCAGGGGGCTAAAGAAGACGACCTGGGTCTTGCAGGGGGCTAAAGAAGACGACCTGGGTCTTGCAGGTGGCTAAAGACGACGACCTGGGTCTTGCAGGGGGCTAAAGAAGAAGACCTGGGTCTTGCAGGGGGCTAAAGAAGAAGACCTGGGTCTTGCAGGGGGCTAAAGAAGAAGACCTGGGTCTTGCAGGGGGCTAGTCCTTGTGGCTTAGCGCTTCTTTTTGATTATAATAATAATTGCAGGGGGCTAAAGAAGAAGACCTGGGTCTTGCAGGGGGCTAAAGAAGAAGACCTGGGTCTTGCAGGGGGCTAAAGAAGAAGACCTGGGTCTTGCAGGGGGCTAAAGAAGAAGGTCTGGGTCTTGCAGGGGGCTAAAGAAGAAGACCTGGGTCTTGCAGGGGGCTAAAGAAGAAGACCTGGGTCTTGCAGGGGGCTAAAGAAGAAGACCTGGGTCTTGCAGGGGGCTAAAGAAGACCGGGGTCTTGCAGGGGGCTAAAGAAGACCTGGGTCTTGCAGAGGGCTAAAGAAGACCTGGGTCTTGCAGGGGGCTAAAGAAGACCTGGGTCTTGCAGGGGGCTAAAGAAGACCGGGGTCTTCAGGGGGGCTTAAGAGGTCTGGGGAGGATTTTCATCGTAGTAAAGAAGACTGGGGATGTAGAGAGGTCCTGATCTAGGAAACTGAATGTACACTTAGGCGCTGTATGATCCCTACTAGTTTAGCGCTTTCCCATGAATATAAGATTGTGTAGTGTGACAATAATGTCTACAATGTCTACAATGGTAATATGATAATTATTTCACCTTTACCAAATGTCGATTTTTCACATACAACTTTAAAAAAAATTTTCGAGATACGTTATTTGGTTAATTACATTTAATTAGATTAGGTTTTATTAGGTTAGGCTAGGATAGCTTAGGTTTGGTTAGGTTAGGATAGCTTAGGTTTGGTTAGGTTAGGATAGCTTAGGTTTGGTTAGGATAGATTTGGTTTGGTTATCATAGGTTAGTTTCGGTTACATTTACTCCCATCTTCTCTATCACCAGTGCCAACCACTTAGCGTTCTGCCCCGTGTACAAGGCTGCTAGCACCTCCTGGTCCATCACCTTATTGGAACTGGGAGGATACTGGAGAGAGAGCCTCAAGAAAAAGAACTCCTTACAGCTCCTCCTGAAGCAGATCTTCCCTAGGATAAGCAACTTTGCTGCTTCTTCGGTGAGTGTGTGTTTTATTGCTGGGTTTCTGTTCCTGGTCCCTACCTCTTAATTATCATTTAAAATCACCATAACTGCATCTCATAGTTACAACTGAGATGGAGTGATGTAAATGGTCCAAGTCGGACCGAAACGTCGTTGTAAGCTCGTCTTTCCTACGTTCAGGTTGTTTGTGTATACTGCATTGTACCACCACCATCACCTAACTTCCACCTCCCCGGCAGATCACCTCCGACTGTACTCGCTTCATGGTGGTGAGACATCCGTTCGAACGCCTCGTCTCTTGCTACAGAGACAAGTTCCAGGATGCCAGTAAGGGCTACTACTACCTTCACTACGGTGAGAAAATGGTCCGACGCTATAGGAAGTTTCACGATGGCCTCTCTCAGCAGCAGGTAAGACTGATCACAGAACGAGTGGGACTTGAGCTAGAGTAAGCCACAGCCATGCTGGTGTGGGATTCGTCTGTAAAAAAAAAAACCCTGCATTTGTGGTCACTGTGGTGGCCTATGCTAACCTCCCTGTGGTGTGTAGAAATATAGCTAGTTGGATGAATCTTAAGAGCCAGCTGGCTTGTGAGCTTTAGTATTCACTTGCCACCGGTTCCCTGATTTGTTTACAGTTGTCTTTTTACGATTTCGTGAATCACGTGAGACTGATAAAGATAGAACCCTCCGTGAAAACACTTAGGGTCACAGTGGAAACAATAAGGACTCCAGTAGCAGTATATATGGCATCCTGCCGACAATGGTGATAAAGCCAACTACGTGGACTTATACAGTACAATGAATAAACATTGATTGTTTCCAGCATATATGCATCCATTATGCGCTTTGGAGACCAGAACTGAGCTGCAAAATCTAAATGAGGCCTCACCAACTTTATATAACATTTACGTATAACCTTGGGATTTCTGTATTTCTTAATATGAAGTAATGATCATTATTTTTAGAGATGAAAATCTAGTTCTCTTAGGCCAGCAGATTATTTAGGAAACGTATTGTTCACTAGGGGCTTTTTCAATCATCTGATCAAGACTCTTGTTAGGAGACACTGCTACATCCTGAATAAAAATACACCTCAATTACTGCCCACAAAACGAATGTGGAGTGACTACCACCCACAGAATGGATATAGGATGCCTAGTAAAACTATAGAGCTGACTAACTACAGATTTTACATGTTTATGAAGCGCCGAACTGGTCCATATTCAGCGCAAGGACTGATGGAGCCTCGACCCTCTGTCTGTTATTCGCAACAGAAGCTGTTCATGCATATAGGCTTTCCATAACTGCTATCATTATTCCCACATATCTTGCATCTCCACAGACATTGCTGTGGGAGGAACAGGTCAGGTTCAAGTAAGATATAGTATCACTAACGTCATTCTTCAAGCTTCAGTTGTGACAACGTTTCGCTGGTTTACATGATCGAGCTCTACACAGAGCAAAACATTATTTCAATAATATCTTGCTTTGCAACTGTTTCTTTTTTTTCGATACCTTCATATCTGACACCTCCCTAGAAATCGCTGTTGGAGGAGTAAGTGATGTCTAAGATTAGGTTGAGTGAATCGTACCCATATTATTACCTTCATACTCACATTTGTTGCATCTCCTCAGATATCGCTGTTGGAGGAACAGGTGAGGTCTAAGGTGAAGAGGGGCCTCCCTGTGGTACTCCCAGAGAACCCCTTCGCCACACCTCTGGGCCCGACCTTTTCTGAGTTCGTGCAGTACATCCTGGACGCACACCATGACGATGAGCATTGGAGGACGTACGAAGCCCACTGCTCTCCCTGCATCCTGCCTTACGACTTCATCCTAAGGTGCATCTCTATATTAGCTTTTTCTGTAATAATTTATTTTAGGTTTCTAAACATTTTATGAGGTGTACTCAGGTGTTATTGCATTTACTAAAAAAAAGTTGGCCTCTTTGTTCTTCATACAGGGATTCCTAAAACAATAGATATATATATAATGAGGTGGTATCAGGCAAAAAGGAATAAGAGGTGCGAGTTGGTTGGTGTCAGGTAATGGGATGGGTAGTAATTTGTTCGCCAAATAGTTGGAGACACTGAAGGTGCCTGATTTTTGTGACATGCTGTTTGACACTCATATTAGGGCGACTTCCAAGCAAGTTCGTGTGCATAGGTCACTCTTGCGAGTAACTAGTGGCTCTGAATTAGGACTGAAGAAGCCACTCGTGATTAAACGTTTCCTTTATTAAATGTCATAACTGTACACTGGTGTCCACGTCTTTTCTGTATCACTATACTTTATATAACGAATTGACTTACGATACTGAAACTTTATGGGGTGTGATGTAATCCACATAATTTTCAATGTGTATAAGACTTCCATATGTGCTGATTTTAAATGAATATCTTCGACATATTTTATATATCCTTGTCTCTCAATTACAATATAATCTAAATGTCTTTAATCATGCGTAGTATAAGGCATTATTTATTATTATTGTTATTATTATTATACATAAATCTAGGATACAGTGGTCTCAGAACCTGATAAGGTGGAACCATTATGTGTATAGTTTGTATAGAGTTACTAGAAGCCTATTGAAAGTGAACGAGTGTTGTGACTTTTAATGGTTAAAGACCATTATAGTGTCAGTTTTATCTCCAAACTGCGAGTCATTTGTAAACTACAAATCTAGTATGTCGGCTAGTCGCCACTCACAACGCCTAAGTTGTGTTCAGCAGCTGTAACTCGGGTGTTCTCTGATATGAACATTGTATACTGGTATCACCCAGGAGTATAACGTATACCGTATCTTTACCATAGGTTCGAGTCACTTCCCGAGGAAGGCAAGCTCTTCCTGGAGTATCTCAACCGGACTGGCGACGTCCGCCCCAGGTGGGACAACCCAACGCAGGGCGTCAAAACAGGCCAGGTAGCCTGCTCTTACTTCAAGCAGCTCCCACTACCCTACGTCCACATGCTCTACGAGAAGTACAAGAGTGACTTTGATCTGTACGAGTACTCGCCCGATGACTACTTCAGATGTGCTAAAGATGCTAAGCCTCTGTCGACGGTGCCAGGAAGAACTCGAAGAGAGGAAAAACGAAGTAGTTGATGATTTAAAAAAAAAGTGTAGTGCGATAACAATGTATCGATTTTTCTAAACCAAATAGAATACACGCATTGAGGGCAAGAAATTTCGCTTAGAATACAGACCGAATTATTGTTATACTGATGAAAAAACGCTTAACCCGTATGGGGTATTCAGTGCCTGTGGTATAGGGGTGACTGAGATTCTATGTTTCTGATTATTGCATGTACAAAATATGCAGAAATCAAAAAGATCGTAGATAGAATCCACAGATACGGGATGTAATCAGTTTTCATCAGTGAAAGTGGAGGGTGGTTGAAAATTCCTTGGATCAAGAGCCTTAACACACTTGCAGTGTATTCTGTAAAGGAATGCAAAGATGTATCTTTTTACAGACTTCATGCATTACTACAAAAGAAATTTTTCTAAATTATGAACCCAAGTAAAAAATGAACATTTTATTTAGTGTATGAAAAAAATTTTTGACAAAATTCTGCGTATATATCTAATCATGTGCCAAATAATATAAAGCCTCGATAAATATTGCGTAGTAAAATAAACGTGGAACGTAACAACCTCAAGTTTTGCAAGAGCATTTTACGAATTGACAAGATGGAGTGAATGACGACATTTCGCCCACACATAATATTTATCAGTTCAGAGGACGTGATAAAAAGGCAGAAAGAAAACAGAACTCCCAAGAAAACAAGACGTAGGTGAAAACTAGTCGCTTTGTGTACTTTATGGAATATCCACATGATGTATACCCTGAAGAGTCTATTTCTCTGTGTATATATGCTGAGAATTTACTGTAATCAGTGTATTTGAATTAAAATATTCTTGTTTGGTGATGCATCAGTAGTCGTGTGTGTGTGTGTGTGTGTGTGTGTATTATATATACACACACACTACTGATTATATATATATATATATATATATATATATATATATATATATATATATATATATATATATATATATATATATATATATATTATATATATATTGTATATATATATTAAATATATGCAATAAAATCACAGGAAACACGTGATTTCAGAATATGCAAAACAACTACTGTGAAAGAATAGAGAAATTCCAAGAGCTTTCGTGATTACTCACATTATCATTGTTCCTTGATAATGTGAGTAGTCACGAAAGCGCTTGGAATTTCTCTATTCTTTCACAATGGTTGTTTTGTGGGCGAGGGGCTTGGACTTCCAGCAGACGTGCGTGAGCGTGTTCGATAGGAGTGAATGGAGACGAATGGTATTTGAGACCTGACGATCTGTTGGAGTGTGAGCAGGGTAATATTTAGTGAAGGGATTCAGGGGAAACCGGTTATTTTTATATAGCCGGACTTGAGTCCTGGAAATGGGAAGTACAATGCCTGCACTTTAAAGGAGGGGTTCGGGATATTAGCAGTTTGGAGGGATATGTTGTGTATCTTTATACGTATATGCTTCTAAACTGTTGTGTTCTGAGCACCTCTGCAAAAACAGTGATTATGTGTGAGTGAGGTGAAAGTGTTGAATGATGAAAGTATTTTCTTTTTGGGGATTTTCTTTCTTTTTGGGTCACCCTGCCTCGGTGGGAGACGGCCGACTTGTTAAAAATATATATGTGTATAGGACCCCCGCCTTACGATCAGCTTCCAATGCGACCAATTATGTAAGTGTATTTATGTAAGTGCTTTTGTACGTGTATTTTTGGGGGTCTGAAACGGACTAATCTAATTCACAATATTCCTTATGGGAACAAATTCGTTCGGTAACGGCACCTGAACATACTTCTGGAATGAAATTATATCGTAAGGCGGGGGTCCACTGTATATATATTTATATACTTTTGTGAGTGTGTTTAATGAAATGACCAAAATTTTTAAACTTGTAAGCCAGCGGAAGGCCTCGGTCAGATGACCAAAACCTCCAACGACGGGTCATTATCTAAGACCCGCCGTTGTAGGGTGATGAAAAGGTTACCGTGCAGCTTTAATGATCCTAATGTAGACATAGACTTTAAACTCCGTTAACAACCATTAGTAAGAGCACCAGCAGCACTACCACACTATTCCCAGGCACGAACAGGTTTAGTGCTTCCCCAAATATGTAATAAGATTGGTATTATAATTAATGCCATTTCATATTATTTTCAGATAGTCACATATGCATCTTTAATATATTTTAGTTACCCTTGAATTCACATTAAATTACTAATTCGGTAAGAAATTATCAAAGATTTTTTTTCAGTTTTCTGACTTGACAATGTAATGGATTACTACTAACTGGTAACATTTAATGGTTTTTAAAGATGTGGACTGGCAAGCCAACTGAATTTTTCAGTCGGATGACCAAAATCTCCAGCTGTGGGTCATCATATGACTAAGACCCTCGTAAGGAAACACTTGTTCTATTTCCAGACAAACTTTACCTAACCTAACCCAGCATAAACAAATCACGAGAATTTAGTCATTATAATATTTCATTTCACAACCTACCAGTTTTTGGTTAATATGTTTGATTTGAAACCCATGGACTGCACTAGGATCATAGGATTGCAATACACCAGTCAAGGATACTTTAATATCCACACTTTTTATTTAATTAAACCTCTTCAACGGGGGCTCCTTGGCGTGGTGAAGAGGCTCTTGGTCTGAGGAATTAGACCTGTCGGTCTCCTTCCTCAGACCGAACCAAATTACCCCCCAATTCCCCCTTCCCTATCCCATCCTCCCCTTTTCCCTTTCCTCATCCTCCTCCCCACCCCTCCCTTTTGCCCTTCCTCTTTTTGGCCTTTCGGATTTTTCCCACAGGCGCACTAGTTCCTAGGTAGGGGAAAGGGTACTGGGGTCCATCCCATTCCATTGAAGTTCTTGGCGGTGGCGTAGTTTGCCGTGGAATCTGGATCGCCTGGGGATGTCCCGATCCCTCTCCGGTATCCCAGAGAGTGGCTTTGGGTGTCTTTCGGGCGACGGGTGTATCTCGGGAAACCACCTTTTGGATTCCGGGGGTGGTGGCCGAAGGAGGTATGCTTTGTGGCGGATATCCGGCCGCCCTCTCTTTTGTCCACTGAGGTAGCTCGGCAGATGTGAGGTTGCTATCCCGGATTGCTGGTTTACTGGCATGATGGGTAGGGTATGGCATGGGTTCCATGCTGCATCTACGCTACTTGCTGTGCTGAGGTCCTCTTGGGCGCGGAGGGAGATTTTTGGCCCTTTCATTCCTCCTAGGAACTATCCCTCCCCGGTTCCCCCTTTTTTTATTCTTTTTTTATTTTTATTTTATTTTCTTTCTTTTTTTTTCTTATAAACAAAATGAAAAAGAAGTAACCTAACCATGGAGAACCCAATCCATGAACCTGGTACCCCCAGGCCCCTTCTTGATACTGCACCCCGTTCTGACCCAGCCTCGTCTTTGGACCACTCTTTGGACACTCCTCATGCCTCTGTACCTCTTGCCGGTGCTGTTTCCTCACCCGCTTCAGGTACTGAGGTCTCGACTGACTCCTTTAATTTATCTGACCTCCGCTCTCCTTTGACTATGCTTCCGGCCTCTCCCTCTATGGTGCGGCAATTTTCGAATCGCCGGCCCATTCCACGTCGGACCAACTCTGGTCCCACTCCTAAACGCCAACGACAATTACCTGCTGATGATACTTCTCCACCTTCTCGTTCTTCTCAGAAAAGATCGACACGTCCTGCACTACCTTTCCACTCTCAGTTTCAGACTGCACAATGGACTAAATTCTTCACTTTATGACCGACTTCCTCTACCGCCTATCTTTCCGACCACAGTATTGGCAAGGCACTCCTACACCATGTTGGTAAAGATATTTCTTTTCATGCTCTTAAGAGCGGTACGCGCATCATCACAGTACAGAATGCTACCCAATCTCATGATCTTTCTCTTCTTTCCCATATAGATACTGTTCCTGTCACTATTGAAAAACATCATTCTCTCAATTCTTGTAGTGGTACCATCATTCTGCCCCATACCATAGTTCAACAAAATTTCCAGACATGGGGCAATGACATTCTTGAACAGCTGGAACTCCAAGATCTCCCAATCCTCAAGGTGGACACTTATGTTCTTCCTGCTCGCGGGCGGAGACGATACCCTAGCAATGTGGCTCGTTTAACTTTTGACAGCCGTGAACTCCCATCCTCAGTTTATGTAGCAGGACATCAGTTACAAGTTCGAAAGGTGATCCCTACACCGCAACAGTGTAGAAATTGCTGGCTATTTGGCCATCCAGCGAAATATTGCAGATCCATAGCCGAATGCCCAGTCTGTGGTGCCGATGACCATTCTAATACGTCTTGCAATCGACCTCCCTCTTGCCTTAATTGTAATGAGGCTCACCCTTCGTACTCTCGCTGTTGCCAAGTCTACTTAAATGAGCGGGAAATCTGTTATATCAAAGAGGCAGAAGGTCTCCCTTATGCCATGGAAGTTTCTCATCTCCGCCTCCAAGGGAGACTACCTCGTGTTTCTTATTCCCATGTTTCAAAACGTCCCCCCACTTCTGGGGTCCCATCTTCTGCAACCTCCTCTGTGGTTACCTCTCCCATAGTCACTCCTGTATCTAATTCTTTTGCTGTCCTAGGCTCAAACGTCCCTACTTCAATGCCTCGGTCTGTTCTCGCTTTGTGTTCTCCCTCACAAGCCTCAGTATCGACGAGACCTCGTACGACACCTCCTCCCAATCATCCCTCTACTTCTCAGAAGTCAAAAAAAGGTCCTTTAACCCCTCCTTCCCTTCTTCCACCTCCTCATTTTACCTTCCCTGTCTCTGTACCGGGTTCTTCCCCTCTCACTGGCTCTGTTACAGGTGTAGAGGTTCACCCTCCTCCTTGTACTATACCTACCTCCCCTGTTCCCTCCCAAGTTTCTTCCTCTTCTGCCACCTCCCAGGTTTCTGCCTCTTCTGTCCCCTTCCACACTTCTTCAGTTCCCTCCACCCTTTCGCCCCCCCTACCTTGGTACAGTCCATTACAGTTCCAATCTTTACTCATCCTCCCCCTACCATCTCCAATATTGTCTCGCATACAACGTCTCTGAATTCCGAAACACTTGAAGCAATCTCTGAATATATTGCAGAGACCAAACCATCAATGGACACTGATCCACCCTTTGTTCCTTCTCTCTCCTCTCCTCTATCTGTGCAACTCCTTTCTTCACAGCGCACCGTTCCTTCGCTGTTTGAACATTTTCCACTGCCTCCGCATGTGGACTTTTCTAACCCCTCTAGTCCGTAGGAACCCTTACCTGCGGATTTTAAGTATCTTTATCATTGCCAATCATGGCCTATTTACAGTGGAATATACGCGGCCTCAGGGGTAATCGGGGTGAGCTTCAGATGTTACTCTCCCAGTTTTCCCCTGTTGGGTGTTTGCTTACAGGAACCAAAATTACACTCTGCTGTTATCTCTCCCATCTCAGGCTATAATTTATTGTATTCTTCAGATCCTTTTCCTGATGGGACCTTTAATGAAAGTGCCCTTCTATGCACTGATATTCCGTACCATCAACTATTTGTTCATACTTCACTGCATTACACAGCAGCCCATATCCACTTGCATAGGTGGTATACGCTCTGTTCTTTATATCTCTCCTTCTTGGGCATTATCTATTCTGGATATTACCTTTCTTGTTTCGTCATTACCGCCACTGATTCTGTTACTTGGCGATTTTAATGCCCAGCATTTCCTCTGGGGGGGTCTCACTGTGATTCCCGTGGCATTCAGTTAGAGGCTTTTCTTGCCACCCACCCCCTCCATGTTTTAAATACAGGTACTCGCACCCATTTTGATCCTCGGACTCACACTCTCTCTTGCATCGATCTCTCAGTCTGCTCTTCCTCCGCCGCATTAGACTTCACCTG